AGATTGCTTCATATTCATAAAACGTCTTCACATTCAAAGTTTGGATCTTTAGAATCACTATTTTAAAATTCAGAGCCATAATAGCCATGTTTTTTTGCTATTCAGTATTATCCTCTGTGATATCAAAATATTGACGATGCAACATTTCTTAAAAGACAGAACCACTCTTGCCTCTTGGATTTCCTTCCAAGCATGGACACTCATTATGCAAGCTTTGATGATGGCGCTTTTTTTCATCTTTTCAGGAGACATCAAAAGAAGGTTCTTAAACAGAAAATAGGATCCTTACTCTAATGCCCTTCAACAGCTTGTTGACTGAACTGTCAAGGGGCTTTTGTCATCAGTCATGTCACATGGCATAACAATCAAATTGACACATGTACAAGCAATGACAACTAAGTCAGGACTGCTCCTGGCCAATAGTGATCGCAAGATATGATCATGGCAAAGTATGCTCTGATTTCAAAGATGTTGGATGAAGAAAAGAAAGTACAACTTAGAGTCAACAGAATGCATTATTTTACTTTAAAAAAAAAAGAATGATACCATGATTCCAGGGTAGGTTAATGTCATTGGGGACATTAACCTACCCTTTCCACTTTTCTGCTTAGCCATCCCCAGTATGATATCCAGTGCTCAGTCCGATGTTTTCATGGGCTCAGATGGTATTAAAGTTCTAAGAGTCACAAGCAAATATGATATCCAAGGAATAAGAAGGGACATTTTCTCCCAAGTGTATCTTTTTATCAATACACAAAACACCCCCCTTGAAGGATATTCCAGTCACACAGGAAGAAGAAAAAGAATATATGTCATTGCTCAGTTCTGTCTCATTGTCTATAGGGTTGGCCACCTATAGACTGGGACATTTTAAACCATGAGCCCCAATAACTTTCGCGTGGTGGTATAGTGGTGAGCATAGCTGCCTCCAAATAAACTTTTCCTCTTCTAAATTGTTCTTGTTGGGTATTTTGATCTTAGTAATGAAAAAAAAAAAAAAACAGGGCTTACTGTTGACAGATTTTCTAGTTTGTTAAAAAACAAAAAAATCAGAAAGGTGTATTTTCCTATGGAATACTCCAATTCTTCAACTATGTCTCCAAACCATCCTTTTCTATACTGTTTCCTGATTTCTGCATGTAGCTTGGAAACTAATAAGGCTTTAGTCAGATGGCAGTTTACAGTAACACAGGTCTGGGGGCACTGTTACCGCTGTTGACCAGGTGACGAGTCCTTGCTTCCCCAATGTTGAAGAATAACACCAAAGAAGCACGCCGAGGCAAGGTCAGAGTAGAAATTAGAAGTTTATTAAAGGACAGCAGAAAAGACTTCTCCCGGAGGAAGAAGGGGACCCAAGAGGTGGAATCCGAGGAAGGGATGTTGTCTCCCCTTTTTATAGTTCTTTCAGTGATGGAATGTAGGTGGGAAGGCCTGAGGGGTGGGACACAGGTGGGCCAAAGAAGTAATCTGGTCAGGAAGGACTTCTGAGTCAGCACCTTTTTGCTGGGGGCTGTTCATTAACATTTCTTTGAGGTGGACTTTGGCCTAGGGCCTTTTAGGACTTCATTAACATTCCTTGAGTTGTCCTGCGTTTCCCAGAATCATTGCCAGCATGGCCTCCATTTTAGATTTCACTCGGCATTAGACCCGATTTACCTAACTACACTGACTACCTAACTTTAAACCTGGCTTCAGCACCACTGGAAAACCACACCTGCAGCAGTGCTGGAGATGGAGCTCAGACCTAGTGGCAAGTATCCAAACGAGCAGGCCCTGCCCACAGAGACAGAGGTGCCTCCAAACAGCACAAACAGCTCAGCCTTTACCAACAGGCAGACGGCACCTGGGGGAAAACCTGGAGAAAGTCCCTTGAGGCTGCACTTAGAAGTTCTAACTGCTGACACCACAAGAATCACTAGGAGTCCTTCCAGCAAATGACTCAGACTCCAATTTCAGAGTCTGCCCTACTTCAACCTGCTGACCCATCTCCCATCCACCCCTTCAATTCCTAGGCATCCCTCCAGCCTCTCCATGAACAATGCGCCTTCTGTGGTTTTGCACACCCTTCATCCTCAGCTCCTTGTCCCTTTCTGGCTCTGGCCCCCTTCCACATGCACTTTTACTTGCTCCTAATGTATTTAGGCCACAGTTGTGAACCGGGCCTATTGTGTACCTTTTCCCATGGTGTCAAATATATTTAAGATACCTGTCAGTTTGTTCCAGATTATTGTAGCTTCCCTCAGGGCTTCATAATCCCCACCATATCTGGGAAAAACTTGGCAATCTCAGAATTCAAATTGATCACCTATGCCAGGCATGATGGTCCACACCTAGAATCCCAGTGGCTGGGAAACTGAAGCAGAAAGATCGCAAATTCAAGGCCAGCCTCAGCAACTTAGTGAGGCCCCCTAAGCCACTTAGCGACACCCTGCCTCAAAATGAAAAATAAAAAGTCTGGGGATGTGGCTCAGTAGTAAAGCAACCCTGGTACCAAAAAATAAAATAAAATAAAATAAAAACCTTGAGCAGCTATGAGTTTATGGCCTAAATAGCCAACGTGGTTATAAGCATGAGGCAGGAAGAGAAATACCTTTTATAAAATATTTCCTTCCTTCATTTTTCCATTTTTCCTTCCTTTCATTCTCCCTTTCTCCCTCCCTCCTAATCTCCATTTCTACCTTTCCCCTTCATCTCCTTCTAAAGAATTTTTATATTTTAATATTAAAAAAAAAGAATGAAAACCCAAACCACCCAAGTTTCCATCACCACAAAAATGTTACTATGGATATTTTAGCATAGTATTTTTCATTTTTCTTTTTCTTTACAGTCTTATCATCAATTGATTTAATTAAAATTTTCATGATGGTGTTTATTTTTGTGCAATCAAAATCATCAAGTGGTTTTCTTAACATTGAATCAAACATTTTTCTTACAGACACACATACTCTTGAAAATTTAGTTGTAAAAATTATACCATTAATAATTATGTAAATAATTATTTACAATATTTATATATATAAATTCAGACAAATCAAGAATATACATTCTTCTCTTCTAGACTATAATGAAAGGCAGAAATAGTTTCATCGTTTTGTTGTACTCTTGCAGTTCTTTTTTTTTTTTTTTCGGGGCGGGGGTTGGGGGTGGTACCAGGGATTGAACTCAGGGGCACTCGATCACCGAGCCACATCCCTAGCTCTATTTTGTATTTTATTGGAGACAGGATCTCACTCAGTTGCTTAGCACCTGGCTAAATTGCTGAGGCTGGCTTTGAACTCATGAGCTTCCTGCTTCAGCCTGGGATTGCAGCTGTGTGCCACAGCACCAGGCTCCTGGGCAAGAAGTGTTGATTTTGAACTCTTTTTAGGAATCTGTACTCTTGTTATTTAATGACCCAGGCTCTCTGACTCCCAGTGTGAAAAAAAGAAAAATGATCGAATCCATGCTTCCCCTGAATGAAAAGATACTTAAAACTTGCAGCACTTTCTATCAATAGTCTAAACTCTGAAAGCAGAAAGGAAAAAAAAAAAAAAAAGATCTTCGCAAAGAAAAGACACATACATATTCTCTCTCTCCTTACAATAGATATTGTCACATCCCAGCTGTTTTCACTTCTCATGTTAAAATAGACACTAAAAATAGTTGTTTCAAACAATGCTTAGCATTACAAAACCAAGTTATTCAGAGCTCAATTTTTAAAAATTCATTTAAATCAAGATTAATAAGATTTTAAAGGGAGATGAAAACAATTTTTTTCTCAGTATCTTTCTTTGGATTTTCTTAAGAACTCTTACTTTCAGAATTAATAGCTTTAATTTTTTTTCACAAAGATGTCTACATTCACACCTCGTTAAATGCCCTCACATAGACAATGACCATCAGCAATCAGACTAGCCCATGGGTCTGGTAGGCACCACCATTCTTATCTCCGTGGATTGTTTGTTTGCCAGTCTATTTAGCTCCTAGGTATTCTCTCCATTAAACTAGACTAGCAGACAAAAATGACTTTGCAGTATCTGACAAAGTGGTAACATGCATTTATTTGATCTGCTAATCCCAAAGCTAATGTTTGAGTGTAAAGGGTTTTTAATCAAATCCTCAATATGCGGAGGAACCAGCCCCGTGCAGTCTCTCCTTTCTGAGTCACAAAGGCCTTGGTTTCCAGCTACTGCCTCAATTTCATGAAACTAGAATTTTAGAGCTGGAAAGGACCTTAGATTATTTGTGACTTGACCTCCTAACCATTTTAAAACCATGGCTCACAAACAGTGTACTCTGTAACTGTTCTCTTGCTAAGTCCTTGTGCTCTTTAAAAGAAATGAAACCTCTCTTCTAGATGCTTTTATGGGGCAGCTTGTTAAAGGGTGGTTTGTTGGAGTCCTTTTATGCTCACAAACTTTGAGTGAAGTTTTGATCCTTCTGACCAACAGTGACTGCTGTAGCTTTGCTCCTGAATGTCTCCCTAAGGTCCATATTGAAGACTTGTTTCCCAGTCCAGTAGGCTATTGGAAGGGGATGGAACCTATGGGAGATGGGGCCTGCTACAAGGAAGATAGATGATATTGGAGGGTCACACAATTAAAGGGGACATTGGGACCCTGGCTCCTTCTCTTCCCTTGTCTTTGATTCCCAGCCACCATAAAATGAACCACCTCTTCTGCCATAGGCTTTCACCATGATGTACTGTGCCAAAGCAATGGGCCCAAGTGCACTTGGAACACCAGAAACCATGAGCCTTTGAACTGATTCTCTCAGGTATTTTGTCACAGTGACAGAAAGCTGACTAGCGCACTAGCCAAAAATTTATTTTCTGCAAGTGAGGAAACGTGGAGGAAAGAAAAAATGAAAGAAGCCCAATCTTCGTTGAGTGACTAACAGGTGCCAGGCGACTTACAATATCTATTTTGATACTGGCCTTTTAAGATAGCCCTTGCTCCCATTTTACAGGTGAAGCACCCTGAAACCCAAGTGTTTCAAAAGAACTTGCTCCATACCTCAGAGTTAGTGAGTCACAAAATGGGATTTTCAACCCTAGTCTATCAGGCCCCAAACATTGCCCACGTTCTGTTTACTGCACCAAACTCAAGCTTTATTTCCTCAAGCTTTATTCATATGCCTAGACAGAAAATCATTTCATGAATTCCACATGGTTGTCTGGGCAGGGTAGACACTCCTCTTTTGGAGGAATCTTCAAAGTAGTGTGTTCAGAAATCTAAAAAATAAATAAATAAATAAAAGGCTCATGTTTTACTGTGTTTGGCTCATTGATGATTATAATTTAAACATTTTTGAATGACGGTTGTTTTATGTCAGAGAGCAATACGTATTCCCTTTAGAAGTTGACTAATGATGTTGTTCTTGACTCCATCTGGAATTCTAAGAAAACAAGGAACAAAGCCAATCACAGGTAGATGTCGAAGGTACTCAGAGACTTCTGATCATTAGGCCTTCAAATCAGATAGACAGATTGATGGCTGGAGAGTTTTCAGGCAACCCCACACCCAGAAATAGGGTTTCCCTGAGGGTCAAGATAACTCTGAATCAGTACTATCAACACAGTTTGGCCATTCCTCGGTTAATTTACACCAAGGACTGAAAAATCTGCCAGAAATAAACAGGAATTAGGGGGTGGATAGAAGGAGAAGGAAAGAGAAAGAAAAGCAGAGATGAAAGAGAGAGAAAAAGAACAAGAAAGAAAAGAGAACAGAAAAGGCAAAATTAATGGGATTTCCTCTTTCTGGATCTAGAATCTAGAAACAAACAATCAAACAATAGTTTTTGGATTATCTTAAAGGACTCTGCCAAACTGATGTTTCCTTGCGATTTTATTAGATTGAATTCTACCTTGTATCTTTTTGACCCACTTCTACCTCAAGTTGGTACAACTGAGAACATAAGGTTCAATGCAGATGGTTGCATGGGAAGTGTAAAGAGGTTCAGGTATTGAAACTGGTCTCCTAACTGGCTCTGAAAATCAAGAGTTATTGTGAGGTGGGATCCTGCCCAACAGTCACTGTCAGATAGCCACTTAATCTTGTTTTTTGGTTCTTGTGTGTGTGTGTGTGTGTGTGTTTTGTTTTTTGTTTTTTAGCTTACTGCTCTACTAAGACAAAGTCATACCTCATGATTCTTAACAGCAAGGGCTCTGTAACACTCAAAATAGATTGTGCTATGTCACTGAAAAATGATGTCGCTTCTCGTTAAATCATCTCTTCATCTGCCTGTTCATTTAGCACCTCCATTCCCTGCCCTATTCCATTCCTGGGCTGTCCCTAGCCTCATTTTGGGCTTCATACCTGTGTGATCATTTCAAATCCTCTTCTTTGCCATGTTCCAGTGTTAGTTTTAGTCCCCTCGAAAAACCCGGGGAGAAAAATGCCATGAACACGGGGCTGTGTCTCCTCCTGGGACCCAGGCCCACTCTCTCTCTGGAAAGGTTACTCTGTTGCACTCAGGTGAGTAACTGACCTCACTAAGGATGACTTCTTTTGCTTTGCTTTTCTCCTTTTAATTACTTTCTCAATCCATCCAGGCAAAGTCAGATCATGTTATTAAAGAATCTGGGATGTGTTGCTAGTAAGCAGCAATTTATTTTTCTCACCCTTTGGAAGTGTTTCTTGTTGACGGTTTTCACTCAGTGACCCAAATAATACATGTTCCTGTTATGCAACAGAGGTGACAAGCCAGAAAGATCTGCACTCACACAGTAGCAGGTCTGGTCTTCATCAGACACAGGCAGTGTTTGTTTTTATTTAACTACAAAAGATGAAGTAGAGAAATTCAAGGAAAACTCAATGGGATGCCAGATAAGACAAACCATTCATTAGGGGAAGAGAGAGAATTTCTTTTTATACATTCTTGTTAAACCATTTTGACTCTGAAATGGAAGCAGGACACCAGAATATGGAAATCGTCACATTTGTGGTTTTATTAGGGTGTATTTAAACTTTTCAAACGGTAGGCCAGCCTTTGAAAGTTCTTGACTCAGCAAACTAGGGATGCATTTGGCCAACCACTTTTTCTTCCTCCAATTTAAACCCATTTATATTCCAAGGGAAACTTAATCTGTACATTTATGATTCATTTGTGCTTAACTTGTCAAAATGTTAAGAGCTGTTTGAAATAAAAGAAGCCTTTACATTCTGATGCTTATATAATTTTTATCCTTAGAATCAGAAAGCTGTGCTTTTTGCAGAGCATCAACAACCCCATACCTATAGGCGTATACATCATATATGAGAAAATGCAGGACTCAAGCAGACCGCAGGTGTACTGCTATTACTTTGAATTTCAATCTACAGGCATACGTAAACAAGTAAGCCTTAAATTCATTTTTTTAAAGAAAATTATATCACTTAAATGGTGATGTGTCCTAAACTAAATTGCTAACCTACTCTTTTCCTTGCAGAGACATTGTGCACTGTTGATCAAGTTACATACTGCACAATTCTGGGAAGCACACTCTCAAAAACAGCACCATCATTCATAGTGAGTCTGTTTCCCTGCATTCTTTTTTTTTTTTTTTAAATGGAATTTTGTCCTTATTTTTTATTTGTTCTGATTGGTTACACATGACAATAGAATGCATTTTGACACATCATACAGAAATGGAGTATAACTTCTCATTCTTCTGGTTGTACATGATGTAGAGTCACAAATCGTGTATTCACATATGCACATAGGGTAATAATGTCTGATTCATTCTACTATGGTTCCTACCCTCTACCCCATGTCCCCTCCCTTCACTCCCTTCAGTCTAATTCAAAGTACCTCTATTCTTCCCTAGGCCCTCCCACCTTATTGTGAATTAGCATCTGCATATCAGAGAAAACACTCTTTGGTTCTCTGGGATTGGCTTATTGCACTTAGCTTGCTATTTCCAGTGCTATCCATTTACCTGCAAAGGCCATGATTTCATTCTCCTTTAAGGCTGAGTAATATTCCATTGTGTATACATGCCACAATTTCTTTATCCATTCATCTGTTGAAGGGTGCCTACATTAGTTCCATAGTCTAGCTATTGTGAATTGAGCTGCTACAAGTATTGATGTGGCTGTGTCCCTGTAGTATGCTGTTTTTAAGTTCCTTTTCTCAATTCACAACTCAGGCACAAGCATCATCCAGAAGTATCACTAAGCTACAATATATTTATTGACTATGCCAAAAATTCTACCTTGACTTATCAAGTTTGCAAGGACTTCATGCATTATTCTAATATGGTTGCATGTGCTTATCTATAATCAGGCTCTGGTTTTAACTCCATATTACTAGGTTTATGGCTTGGAAGAGGTTCCCTTTCTATCTTCAGATGGAAACCTAGGATATCTTGACCTTAGAGGACATCAGTTATGTGTGCTCACAGAGTGGAAGAGAAAAGGGCATCCATGCTTGGAACTGTGAGATGGAAGGAGAGAGGAACAGATCAAAGGCTGTTGAGGGATGACGAATCATTGAATTGTCGTAACACAAGAGTTAGGCTGCCTGGTAGTGGAATAGAGTAGAGATCAAGAACAGTGCCAGGCTTCAAGGGTCTGGGGTGGGAGCTGTGAATGCTGTGAGCCTCCAGGGCTCTCCACCCACAAAAGACCTAGCCCACCTTGCTGGGCTGATGATAGGCTCTTACAAGAACCTATAGACCCATTTATATTCCAAGGGAAGTAGTAATAAGAGTTCAAGGTTATGATGCATTTAATATTCCCAGTACAGTGCCCAACCTAATATGATATCAACAAATGTTGGTTCCCTTTAGCCCTTTTGGGGGCATGGACCAAAAAAAAAAAAAGCATTATGAAGAACCTAACTCATGAACTGCCACTTGCCATGGGTATATTTTGGATGCTTTGAGCTTCCCACATGGCTTCATTTTGGAATCTGTTTTCCCTCACTTTATGTCTTTCTAGAGGGGCTCACAATCATGGGGTCCCTAGGGAAAAAATCCACAGGATCCAAGCTGACCAGAAGACTCTTTTTCACTGGAGACAGGAATTGATCTTAGAATGGATGCAACCCAAACAGGACCACTCAGAGTATTTTTTCAGGAACTAATTAAATGCTGAGAGAGAAAGGATCTTTCTGATTCTGAGATTATAAGAAAAACATCCACCCAGGAGTTGCTCAAGGCCAAGCAAAGGGAAACAGAATCAATACCTTAGAGAGAGACAGAGATCATCTAGACCTTACTGTGCCTGAAGCCCTAGACTTTTCAGTTACAGAAAATTAATTCTTTTTATTTTACTTTAATTCAAATTGAGTCTCTGTCCCTTACAACCAATGGACCAGACAACTCCCTAGGGATTATTCTTAGGGAATTAAACTTTGCCATAGGACACATAAGAAAACATCATCCACTCCACCCCACCCTAGTTTTCAGTATAGATTTTGATCTAAACTCTTTAAAATTGTATGTATTTATTTTTATTTGCAGTACTGGGGATTGGATCCAGGTGCACTCTTCCACTGATATACATCTCTAGTCATCATCATTATCTTTGTTATTATTATCATTATTTTTGACACAGAGTCTCACTAAATTGCTGAGGCTTGCCTTGAACTTAAGATCCTGCAGCCTTAGCCTCTGTAGGTGCTTTGATTCTAGGTGTGAGCCACTGCCCTTCTCTAAAAAATAATTTTTTGTACTGAGGATTGAGCACAGAGACTCTTTACCACTGAGCCACACCCCCACATCCCCATCCCATCTTCATTTTTATTTTATTTTATTTTAATTTGAGAAGGAGTTTTACAAAGTTTCTGAGGCTGGCTTTGAACTCACAATCCTCTTGCCTCAGCCTCCCAAGTTGCTGGAATTACATCATGTGTCACTGTACCCCAAATTTTTTTTTAATTAGGCATTTCTGTGCTAGTACTGTTAGTTATGATTTTTTTCAGAGGTATCCTAAAGAGACTGTAGACATTCCCACTATAATAATTTTTTCTGTTCCTATAAAAAATGAGTGCACAGGGAAATAGTGAGCAATCTCCCAGCCAGTAAGAAGACTCCTGATGCTGGCTCCAGCACTGTCTGCTCCCACAATCTCAGCTGCCATGGCAATCAAAAGAGCACAGAGAGTGGCAATTCAGTCTTACAAGAAGGCTGCAATGCTCCCAGAATCAACAAGCAAAGGGTCTACATGACATGTCTTAACAAAGAAATGGGCAGAAACCTATAGACTAGATCTAAGGCATAGAGCCAGAAAATTGGAAAATCAAAAAGTCAGCCTGGGAGGTAGGAAGAACAGAGTTTTAGGCAGAGCACAAGGATAGGCCTAAGATAAAGCCACATCACTGTTGGAGCTATATGCCACCCAAGGTACAATGTGCATCGAGGACAGATGAGGGCAAATACCTACTGGCTCTATGTTGTTAGCCGGCCTGTAATCACAGCATAACCACACAAATAGAACAAATAGTTATAAAGAGTAGAGGTTCATCCATTTACTAATTTATTTGTGAACACAATGTTTTGTTGTTGTTGTTGTTATAATCAATCTTAATTACAAATACCATGAACAGAGAATGGTGCTAGTGGATGGGATGGAGAGAATCTCAAGTGGTCTTTGCCTTCAAGGAGCCATAGCCTAATTAGGGTTGTCTGAGATGGGTGCATAGATAACTAGCATAGGAAGAACTGTGTTGGTTAAATATCACCCCCAAAGGCTTAGACTGAAAGGGGATAGAACATCTAGGGAGATTGACATTATTCCTAGGTGGTCAGAAGGGTTTTTCTGGAAGTGGGAGACCAAGTGGAATTGGTAGTCACTGTGAGAAAGGGTCCATATGAGTTGGAAAGTGAACTGGGCTTGACCACTTGGACTTGTGAAGCTAGGGGGAGGGTTTAGCTACTTTGAATCGTGTTTTTCTCCTTTGCAAATGGAGGTTTCAAATATCCAGGCATCAGGTTAGGATGAAATAAGATCACTGAGGTAAGGCCAGAGAGCAGCCCAGAAGAGGAGGAGGCAGCACTACCCGTCACCCCGGGTCCCATGAGAAGAGGGAAAGCAGCAGGGTCCCCGAGAGTGCCACGCGGCAGGTCCAGGCTCAAATAGCCTCAGAGAACTTCCCACACCCCATCTGACTCAGGAGAAGCAAGTGAATAAGTGGAACTAAAAGAGATCCAGTGAGTGGGCATAAGGGACAACCCAGCATCTTGCTGGGTAGAGGATCAACAACCTCTCTCATTTCATTGTCAAGTTCAGATGGGTCCTCCAACGTCTCATGCTCTGCAGTACCAGCATCCTCCTCAAGAGCTCAGACACCATGCCAGGGAAAATGGGGCAGAATTCCTGAATCAACTGGGAATAAGGCCCTGGCACCGAGCAGGGGCTCAAAATAGGAGTCAAACATGTTCTAAAATGTGTGGACAGTTATCTTGCTTGGAGACCTTAGATTATATGTTTTAATGTCTGCTAATTACACCAAGCCCTCACAGGCATTCAGCCAGTATTTGTATTTATGCTCTTCCTCCTTTCTCCTTTCCCCAACACTTCCAAGAACGGATGGGATTCTGAATGGAATCGATGGAAACAGAACTATCAGGTTCAGATTGCCTTTTACAGATCTGCCTTTAGAGCTTTAAAAATAATTCAAAGCACATGTTTCTCCTGATGGCAGGAAAGTCGTTTTACTGCCACATAGAAAGGACATCACATTAAAAAAAATCATTTCTAGATGCCTCCATCTATGGCTTCTCACACCAGAGAAGTTGACACAATTGTGACTCATCTGTGACCAATTTTTGGAAGCTGTGAAAATGGAACCAAGTGTCCACTTAGCCACAAGCAGAGTGTGTGTGCTCCAGGGAGGTGGAAATGTTGCTTTCACGGGTGACATTTAAGAAAACGGCAGGGACAGCTATCACTTGGTGTGGCTTGGCTACAGAGCCGCCTGAAGGCAGTGTCACTGTTGCTGAGAGCAGGGACAGCTCCCAGGGCTCGAGGAAATAGGTCAGGGTTGACAGCAGCAGCTGTTCAGCGCCATCTTCCCACCCCCTCCACCCCGACACTCCTTTGGGTTCCCTGCCTCCCTCCTGTTTGCCTCGGCCCCTTCCTTCCTTTGATTTCCTACATTCCCCTCTGGACTCCAAAGAACAGAAATCCAAAATGCCTCCCCGAATCAAAGAACTAAGACTTTTCATCGTGGAAGATAATGGGAACATTAAAACCCTTACTCCTGATTACCCCAGAATTTAAATTTTTTTAACCCTCCATGCCAAGACTTTGTGCTAAATCTATGGACAATTTAGAAAGCACGTTTGTTTTCTGAGCTTTATTTAATGGAGGCAGATCGATATGAAATTTTTTAATTCTGTATTTATCAAGCTGATAAAAATCAAATGTTATATCATTAGTCAACTTTGTGGATAATTATATTTACTCTTTGAGCGTGAAAAGTTGTTTTTCACCTAAAATATATTTTATTTTCCACTTAATAAACACCCTCTTCTAGTGATTATCATGTTTCCTGGTCATCCAGGGCCACAGAATTGGGCCTCCATGACTAATTTTGTGCCTCGGAGGAGGACTGGCCATGAGGTCCCCACACTGACTGCCAGTCTCAGTGCTGGTCTAATGTGGAATTGCGTGGACAGACAGCCACCTCTGGGTCAAGTCCATATCAAGCCTTCTCCCTGACAGTAAGAACGATGAACCATTCCAGGAGAAGAGTAGGAGAGGGACGTCTAGGGCAAAACCAGCCCAAGAAGCAGAACCAGGAAGATGAATGATAGCAAAGATCCAGAGATAGGTCTGAAACCAGGGCAGGTTTGGCAAGATAACGAAGGCCAACGGCCTGATGAAGTCTGGAGATCCGATTTGATCCATCTGTCTGCAGTTTGCAGGACTAACCAGTTTTTATTGGCCTTCTGCTTAAACAGTCACTTCTGCTCTGAGGGCGTCTTAAAGGGCCCGGGTGATTTGGGCACTGACATTGACACTGTCCTTATCCTCATCCTCATCACAGGTTGTGGGTTCTGAAAGTTGGGTTCACTAGCAGTCTCCCTCAGTCCTCACTGCTTCCAACCCAACGTGGGCTGGGACACAGAAAGAATGCAGGATGCCGGGAAAGCGCACACTCGTACCCACATCTGCAAAGGACAGCATAGGACCCCACTTGTTAAATCTAAATCAGCTGCCCTAATTTCACCTGCACATTTCTGACTGAGTGCATCAGCTGCTGGCCAGGCTCCTCTCATAGACCAAGGTACAGGGCCTTGGAGACAATTATTTTCCCCTCACTGTACCAAAGAATATTCCACTTGTTTATCAAGTCACAGCTGTGTTCCAGGTGGTGTATGTGGAGATTTTTCAAAACAAAACAAATCCATTCTCCACACTAGAGTCAGAGTGGGTTGTTTATTTTTTTGTTTGTTTGTTTTATGTCTTGGGGTTTTTTTTTAAACTGCAAATCTGATCAAGTACCTTCCCCTGCTGAGGGGGGAGGTACGTAATCAAAATGCTTCCCACGTTTCACCCTCTTATGGGGGACCTTCCTTCAAGCCTCCCCTTCCCTCTCTGCTCAGCTGCCCTGTTTAGGCTCCCAAACCATCCCAGCCCTTCCCAGCACCTAGACACCAAATTCCCTCCCTTATTAATGCAGCTCATCCCTTGCCAAAAAACCCAAACCCAAAAAGCTACCCATCCATCTTTCAGAACTCAAATTAAATGCCAATTAACTGACCCCCCACACACACCCCTTTAAAAAATTAAAAAAAAAAAAAAAGTTCCTGCAGCTCCTACAGGGCCAGGCAGGGTTTCCTTTAAGATACTTTATTTTGCATATTTTACAAAAAAAAAAAAAACTGCATTCTTAAGGCTCCATCCAGGGTCTCAGAAAGCTGTGATATGAGGAGACCTGAAATTTACGGTCTTTCACCTCATGGTAAATCTGGACAGGGACTAGCTTCATCTCGTCACTGCCATACCCCGCACCCAACACAAAATTTTATTTTGTTGATTGCTGTTTATTGTTTATTTGTTTTCTAATTACTAAATGGTGATTGTTGTTTATTTGTTTTCTAATTACTAAATGAGGGAAAATAGGAATTATAGAATCTACGATTTTTAAATATTAAACCAGCATCTATTTGCCTGCAGAGCTATGTGATCACACTGGGGATGGAAGAAGCACATTGGCTCTCTGAAGGTTAGGCAGATCCTTTGTCCCCCAGGAGAGAAGGTTCCTGTCACATAAGTGTGCATGGCTGAACTGCTTTCAGGCCAATTCTATCTTTAGCCCTGGATCTAGATGAAGAAATTTGATATTTTCTCATCATGAGGGTCTTGATCAAGGGTCCGTGAGGAACTCACATTGTTTTGAAAATTAGGACTATTTCCTTTTATGTTTGTATCTCAGTGACAACACCCTGGCTTTCATCAAATTCTGAAAATGATAATAAGCTCCCCAAAGCATTAAGAATTACCATAGATCATTCAAGGAAGTCTACATGAAATCTAAGAGATGTGAAAACAGCTCATACAAATCAGTATCAGCCTTCCTTCTTAGTAGATGAGAATCTTCACAATTTATTTAACCACTTTTGAGTTTACTCAAATGTAGAGCAGGCTACATGTGCTTACTCACAAGGTGACTATAGGAATACATGTATACACCCATTCATGTGTTTATGCATATACATGCATACAAATGATACATACTGTCTTGACCAATTCCTGTCTTATAGCACACACCCAATAAATGTCTGACCTCATCTCTTCTAAGCAAAGAGATCTTCATTGCTTTAGCATAATCTCTGTACTGAATTATTTAAGAATAACCTATCCCCTTACCTGTCCATTCATTTTAAAAGAGTTTATTCAGCTCTTATTATGTGCCAAATATTGTGCCATGAACTGGGCAGGGGATAGGATGGAAATCAAAGATCACTAAAGTGATTTGAAGAAGTGAAAACATATTTTTTTAAAAAACTGGAAAAAAATCAAAAAGTAGTTTGAAAATCTCCTACCTCATTATGATGATACATTCTTTCTTGGAGATGAGCCTGTTTGGCTGTCTAGATTATTCCAAAGTATCTAGATAAAAATGGAAAAATGCACTCAGTCATGTGGTTTTTATTTAAAGTACACCCATCATCCAGATGTTTCCAAACATTCATGTGTCCAGTATTATCAAGATAACCATTTCAGAAGATTGAAATTTTCATTCTTAGTGAGATGGCCTCACTTTGGGTACATACAGCTTTGAGCATTTCATGTGAAAACCAACAAATATCCTATTTCTGACATGGGCCAAATACACTGGCTCTTACAAAACAGTCACACACACACACGCACACACACGCACACACATGAGAAATTAAGGAAATAAGTGAGTCTCAAAACCTACATAAAATTATTCAGGATTAATCTCTCTTTCTCCTTATGTCTGTCTACACAGGGAGAGTGTCTCTGTCTCGCACACACACTAACCATCCTACTTTATCTCCCTCAGTCTCTCCTGTCATCCCTCAGCCAACCTCTCCATCATTTCCAGATTGGTAAGGATTCCTCAAGTGCTGCCCAGTGCTCCCAACCCACCCACAACACCCCCCAACACACATACCTAAGTTTGCCAGATGCAATAGAGATGTTCAGTTAAAGTAGAATCTCAAATAAGTAACAAATAATGTTTGAGTATAAGTATACCAAAGTAGCACATGGAACATGCTATCCTAATATTTTTGTTCATTGGAATTTTGAATTTAACAGGACCTCCTGCATTTTAGTTGCTAAATCTGACAGCTCACCTCCTCCCCTTCCTGGAGTCATGGCCTGTGACCAAGTTGCTGCCACTGTCACTCAACTAGATGCAGTACTCTTTCTACCCTGGCATACCCTGGTTCCCAGGATGACACACGTTTCCTGGACCCTGCTCCAAAGCCCTACCCTACCAAGCCCTGTCTTGGGAACTGCACCTACTAGAATTACCCAGCATCAAGTTTTACAGGACTAGCTTGCCCTTGTCAAACAGCCAGAACTTTTGGTCACTGTTCCCTTCTCCACTGTGACTTCTGGTATCACTGGAGCTCCTCCTTCCCTGGATCCCCTCCTCCCTGGTGGGACTTCAACAGGACCCTGCTCCTCCCTGTAGCTGCCCTTGTTAACTAAAAATAAATTTCAAAAACTTGATCAACCAACAGGGTAACTAGAACCTCTATACTCAAGTTATACTGTTTCTGACATAGTCCAAATACACTGGCTCTTACAAAACAGACACACACACACACTCTTAGATCATTCCTAAGCTAAAATGAACATCAGAAGGCCAAACGAAGCAGCCAAGAGACAACTTGTTTCCTAAGAAGAAATGTAGCTAAATGCAAAAATATCTAATAAGCCAATCAACAAATTAATAGTTGCACAAAACACAATTTATCTCAGAGCCTGCAATTCAACCACATAAACACTCATAATATCAAAGCTTTTTTTAATTTCCTCTAAATTTATCAAGGTCTTATTTAATTGCTATAAACACCTAAAGACATGAGCAAATTAACACATAAAATTGCAGGATTTTAGCTGATACATATTCATGAATGCATGTTGTTGTGATCAGGCAAATAATGACCCAAGACATTGATAAATTTGGTAGAGGCAAAAGAAAAACACTGAGAACACTGTTAGAATTCTCTGCAGATCATAGAATGGAACCTTTGAGAAGCCTCGCTCTGGGAGACCATTCATAACAATTATTGTATTTCTGTAAGTCTTCCAGGAGAGAGATCAGCAAATGTTTAACCATAGGCTCCATAAAAATGCTGTCCCCCAAATACTCGAAGGCTAGGTCAGCGCTACAGATCACTGGCTTCTTGGAAGGGTGATCCAGATTCTGCTTCTCAGAAACTGTCTCACATTCTTACTGGCATCCTTGTTTGGATATGTACCACCACTCAGGTAAGATGGACAGATTTCCAAGCATTTGTGGGAATCTCAAGTTACAGCTGTTGTAGGATCTTCAAAATGAATGTCTTTTATTTAGATGGAAATCTACATCCTGTGTTGGCTCACCCAGGGTGGCTGCACTGCAGTTATTTTTGAATGCCTGGCCTGCTAACCTCTCTTGTTAGAACCCATCCATACATAGTTCCTATTCATTAAATTCTTTGTTCTCACCCAAGCAGTCAGTGCCCCTATGAGTTGGAAACTACATTTAGTGTGAACATAGCTGGACCGCTCCTGAAAAAAGAATCAGAGCAAATGCCTAAGGCAGACTGGGAAGCTGAGGGGCACAGCATGGACTATGTCAAGCCCTGCAGAGGGCTCTCCAGAAAAGGGCACGATCATACAGCACCCATGTAGAGATGCTCATCATTTCACCCCAGACCACAGTAAACCTCAGAATCCTTCTCAACACAATTTTCTAGTTAGCCATTTCCAATTAACCTGGAGCAGGAAGCAAATCTGACTTCCCTTTCCAGGTTGAAATCAAGGAAGTTGAGCGCTGAAATCAACAAATAATGTCAGTACTGAAAGGTGAGTGACTCACCCAAGATGAGACGGAGGTTCAACCAAGCGATTTTATTGGGGGGGGGGGCTGCCTGAAGGGGAAGAAAAGGAGAGGCAGAGAGAAGAGAGGAGGAGGGCAGAGAGGGAGAGGGAGAGAAAGAGAGCAGAGATCATGAGGAAGGGGGGGGGGAGAAAAGGAAGAGGGGAGAGAGCATGAGCTTGCAAGCTTCGGCTTAAGAAGGGTTGCAAACGCCACGTGGCGGGTGCTGATTGGCAGGGTGACTCAGGAACGGTGAGCCTTGGGGATGGGTTGAGAAAAATTTTGAATTTGGCGCCCTTCAGCTTGGCACCCTTCGGATAGGAGGGGGAGGGGTACGGGATTGATTACATGATGTTCTTCTCTCCAGACAGAAACTTAACTTCAGCGGGGAGTCTCCCACACACCCAACAAGAACCATCAAGTGGATGCTTTTGTAGTATTTACTATGCTTCAGAACCATGACCTGTGTATATCAACTTATTTATTCATCACAATGACAAAGGTGCTGGTACTGTCCCAATTTGTAACCAATCGCTCAAAGTTACAGGCAATGACGTTGCAGATCAGTATTCAAATACCATCCCATATCCCTCTACATCCTGTGCTCTTAGCTGTTGTGCTCTGACAGCTGCACTAAGTGGGGAGAAATTGACAGCAGTTTATGGTTTGTGACTTCAAGAAATAATGGGGACATCTTCTCCGCTGGCCACACCGTCAGGCTTCCCCTCCTGACACAGATCCACCTGCTTTCACATGAGGACAACTGGTGGAAAGGAGGGAACATGAAATGCAATGTCCCCACTCAGCCTCTGCCTCTGCCTAGCAATTTCACTTTGGGTCAGTAACTTAGCATCCCAGGATATAATTATGATGATACCTACCTCACAAGGTCCAGTCAGCATTAAATGAAACATGTAGAAAAACACATTTTGAAAGGGAAATGGTGTGTGCAAGAGTTAAATACTATTAAATTAAAATCCAGAATTAGATCAAAGCACGTGACTCCTCCCAGAAGCATTTGCATTTAGACAATGTTGCCCGACACTGAGATTCTGAGAGCAGGTGGGAGAGGATGGTAGTGTTGCTTTGGGAGATGGGCTAGATGGGGGTCCTGGAGAAGCCGCATAAGGATATCTGACATAGCTGGAGACCCTGGGGCCTGAAGCTTCTACTTCCCAGCTCTCACCAGTGACAGTGATTCAGCTGGAACCATCATCCCCAGACATGTGGTCTAGATTTGTGCACTACCTCTGTCAGAAAATCCCAGACTATCAGACACTTTCTAATTAGCTCTTGTAAAATATAGATGTGATAATTAGAGAGTAGTTATTATCCGTGGAGATGAAGACGTAAACACAGGATCCTTTAGGAGGTGCCTAGGAGTCTGAAAGGGAGCCAGGAAGAAGCACAAGTGTCCATATTACAGTCCCTGGCTTGGTCAGTGACAACCTGGCATGGAAATCTTGAGGTTCTCCCATATTCTCATCACTACTACTAACCTCAAGGTCACCATATGGAATCACCTCTACTGTAAGATTCAGTCCAGGTGGGCAAGGTGGCGCACACCTGTGACCCCAGCAGATCAGGAGGCTGAGGCAGGAGGATCACAAGTTCAAAGGCAGCCTCAACAACTTAGCAAAGCCCTAAGCAACTCAGCAAGACCCTGTCTCTAAATAAAATATAAGAAGCAGGGCTGGGGATGTGGCTCAGTATTAAGTGCCCCTTGGATTCAATCTCTGGTACCAAAAAAAAAAAAAAGAAGAAGAAGATTAAATCAGTCCAGGTCTTTTGCAGGTCTGTCGATCCCTTTTCAGAGGGTAACAGGGAGTTAACTTGAAGTTCAGTGGCATTCCTCCTCATTAGGCACTTCTCACATTCGTGGGGTGCATTGGTTATTTGGACACTCCCCTAGTCCAAAAGATGACTATGTCAACCCCAAGGGCCTTTTATATTTCTCTGGAGCACTTGCAGCCTTGGCGCAGGTGTGAGCACCTCCTGGCCCCTCTCTCCCAACATGCTCATTCTCCTTTTGACATCAGTCTCTAGGCTCCACTCAGCCCTTCTGGACAATCATCAAAAGCTTCATGTTTCTTCATCTTGCACACATTCATCCCCGCAGCCTGAAATGCTCTCCATCTGAACCCCCACCCATGCTCTCCCCATCTACTTAACTGAAATCAGTAAACACGTTCTTTCTTCACATTCCATCAGATTCTAGAGCTAGTCACTCTCCTGAAATACTCTTCTTCCTTCCTAAGGCATGCCAGAATTTGTAAGTATATTTTTATCCATGTAGATAGTTTTCTCATTAAGCAACAATCACTCTGAAAGCAGGGACCTTATGTGCTTTCTTACTATGGTCTCTGCAAGGACTAGCATTGGGCCTGACGTGTGTCAGGGAACAACAGCCACTTGTCAAATGTTGAGAGAATGGATACTTATAGCTCTTTAAGCTGCAGAACGATGACCCACAGATCAGGGAAATGATGAGCTGATAATCATCCGCAGCGCCACCTCACCCTCTCCTCCCATGTGCAGATTGTTCATTTCTGCTTCAGAAGTTTGGGGTTTGCAATTTGCAGTGGCATTTCCAAGGTGGGATGACAACACTATAGGTCACAGAGATACTCAGAGTGACTTTTGACAAGACTTTATTGTTGTGTGGGGTATTTTAAAATAGTTCATTACTTATAGGGCAACATTGGGAACAGTCCCTGTCACATAATCATTGAACTGATAACCCTAAGGGCCAGTATTTCCCATTGCATCCACTGGCTTCTATAGCAGGCCAGCACAGAGGCTTCCTAGCTCTGTTTAAATGCCTCCTCCATGAGACATACTCGGTGGTCCATTCCAATGTGAAACAGCGGCCATTGTTAAAAAGTTTGGCCTTAGCTTGTGTGGATATCTGCCTTACTGTAACCTCTCCAGCTGTGGTGTAGACATTTTATGTATACCCCCCTCCCATTCATATTTTGAAACCCTTCCACTGAAAGTGAAAGTTTTAGAGAATGCTACTTTCAGAAGGTGATCAATTAAAGAGGATGAATTCTTCATGGTGGGGTCAGAGAGCCCAGAAGATTGTCTAGTCCATTCCACTATGTGAGGACACACCCAAAAGGCACCTGTATGAGCTAAAAAGTGATCCCTCACCAGACACTGAATCTGCCAGTGCCTTGACCTTGGACTTTCCAGCCT